CATGGACGTAGCAGAGGGAAAAAGTCGGAGGAAAAAGGGCAAAGCAGTAACCCACTTGCCGTTTGGGTCGAGATTAAAATAAGGAAACTCGTTGAAGTGAATAGTTGTGGGAGGATGGAGTGGGAGTGTTAGGGTCGTTAGGAGAACTGGAAGTGGATGACGCGAGAAGTTTGACTCGGAGTTTCAGGGAAATTCCGCAGGCAATACGGTGTCCACCATCCTTCTGTTATGGAGGTTCCCTCGACTAACCTTCGTTCCGAGACTCAAGTTCTACCTCGAAAATGCCTGAGTTCCCTTCAAGAAGGAAGAGGAATGCCGCCAGTAAGCATCAACTCTTGAGGAACTTTGCTGAATGGGTAGTTGGAGGGAGTGCTTGAAGTAGCAAATGATGGGCAAAAATTGCCAGATAATGGCTCAGCCTGTTTCTTCCGACGGGAAATGAATGCATTCTTCTCTAAATTCGGCCACGCTTCTTCCGAAAAAAGCTTTTACTCTCAGATCCACTTTAGGGTTTTTTACAGCTTTCTTACGGCAATGTGGTAGACCTTCCCATTTTTTATACCAGCAGCGTCCATCAGCCGCTGGGCTCGTCTGTCAATTGGCTGCTGCTTCCAAAAAGTGTCTCCAGGAAGTGGTATCATTATAGAAGGGTATCCGCTTATGAATATCCCCGTTGTTTTCGTGAACCTTGGAAAGTACTTTCCATAGAGACATCCTAGCCAGTCCCAGTAGCAGTGCTTGTTATGCATGTGTGCCAAGGCGTCAGAGTTCCGAGTTTGTCATCTTGAATTCTTCTCTGAGAGTTCGATTTATTAAGTCTATAATGTCGTGTTTGTTGTTGTGCTGTAACTCCGCAGTACCTTCCTATTTCATTTTGAAGGTACAGTATAACTATAGAGTAGGACAGAAATGTTTTTTTCATTCCTAAGGCGTACCTCTGAGTCGCATAATCCCCTCCTCAGAAAGCTGGAACAGAAGGCAAGCGTGGAGATTATGCCAATGTTGCTGCCACAAGGTGCGTGCTAATAGCGCTGGAGCTGGCGTGCACCTTCGCAATCTTCGCCCTGGTGTGGGAGTGGTAGGCGTGAACGTTAGCATCTCTCGGCTTCGTCTTCTCTCTTAACTTCACTCCCTAAACTCTCGTCAAAATTCAAACTTTTTTGCTTGTAGGGACCAAAGTCGGCTGTAAAAAGGAGACCCTACTTCGGGCATTTTTTGACGGTCTTTCTGTATTTCTACT